CAATCACACAGTATACAAACTGACTCTCAAGATGAAGTTAAAGACAGTGTACCAACAGAATCCCGTCAACAATATAACTCGGCGATTAACTTTAATTGAAATACCTAACCCTATTAACTGCTGATCAGGAGGCACTTTGATACCTTTTAAAAGGCCGCACAAACTTTCGACAATCAAACTGCCTTGATTACATCTGACTAAAGAAACCTTAATAAATTCGAGAAAGAATGTCCGTCGACGTTATTGGCAAATCTCGTTTCGTTATTTTTCCAAGACTACATTGTTGAATAAAAATAATACTTTAAAAATAGTACAAGCTGTGACCCCTCAACGTTTAGAAATCCTCAGAACAGTGAGGTCGTTCGTGAGACCTGTGAAGATCCCAAAAAGCTTCTGTGTTTCTGGACAGAGTTAGCCATATCTCATACGCACAATGACCCAAATTAGATGCTTAGTGCAAAGAATATACCAGAGGGAGACTTTGTACAAAAGTCAATTGCTTGGGTACCTCTGTCCCATTCGTGTTTCAACCGTGAAGCAGTTGTGTTTGCATGGTTGTGTTTCGGTTTGAAGGGTGGGATATGGCGTGAATTTACTGGGTACAGAGGAATAACACCTGAGTCCTCAGAAATGGCAACGCATGGGGGGTATCATGGGCGAAACAGTATACTCTGTTATGTCCATGGTACTGCTTATGAATATAGGCGACGGTTACCACTTTACATCAGGTGGGCCGTCAGCTTGTTTGCCATTCTAAGTTGTATAAAAAAAATAGTTGCCACGCTTGGCAGGCGTTTAGGCAACCGCAGTTAGGCAGTTAGTTTTTAAAAAAAACGCATGCTTAAAATATTTAAGTTAGATTATAACAAAATACTGTTACGCCAGACCAGTCGGTCCCAGCATAGAATAGGCCACCCCTTCCTTTCACATAGGTGTCGTAAAAGAAAACTACGGGAAAGCAAGAGCAGCAGCGTCCCTCTTAAAACATCTCCAAAACCAAACTTCGGTTGCTCATCCGCCTACCAAGCGTGAAATTACTGGCAAACCCCCCAAGGAGGAGGTTAATGTTAAAATGTATAAAATAAATATATAAATAAAAAAAATCAACCAAGGGGTTTGTATTTTTTTTTACCGCAGAGGTGGCAAACAAACATATATGCCACCTAATGGTAAGCGATTACTGTAGTCTATTAATGCCTGCAATACCAGGAGCATTCTCGCGCGTTACAGACCCTGAAGAAACCTCTTTACCCCTTTTTTTGAAAAGACACTATACTGTTGTCTCTTGGAAGTACCTCAATATTATCATTCCAAGTAATATCTCAGCATGAAGCCAGCAATAGTCGCTGAAGATAAGGTGGTCACATATCGTGCTAATAAAAAAAGCCAGCAGTAGCAACAATATAGTACAAACTTCTTCCTGTTGGGGGGAAGGGATTGATAGTAATGCGGACTACCAGTCCCATTACTAGCAGCATACTCTGTCAAGTCGACCTCCACGTGGTCCCCCTTAAAAACCATTGTGCTGATTTTTAGGTGTATTCTTTCACTCATCACGATGAGCTAACTAACCTGCCTATCGTCCTTCACTGGTGCCCCGCGAGCATATACCGTTAGCGTAGGCGAGGCTACTATTTCATTATTATCCATTAAAAAAACTTCTTCCTGATATAGTTATAAAATTTTTGGGATTAATATTAACGTGGCTGACAGACTGACAGCAGATATATAGATAGATACTCTTTATTGTTTCCTCCAAAAGATTACAATTGTAAACTTATTATAGATACTCGTACAAACAATTACAAGAATTAATCAGAATGAGAAAACAATGGGCGACGTTATTGCTGAAAGCGATCTCTTCCAGGCAACCTTTGGATGGAGAGGAGTAGTTATAAAAATTCACTTGCAAAATCTATTTGTTCATTTTTTTTCTATGCAACTTAGAATGACAAATAGGCTGACGGCCCACCTGACGGAAAGTTGTAACTGTCGCCTATAGCCATGAGCAATACAATGGACATAACAGAGTATGTTTCGCCCATGATACCTCCCATGCGTTGTCATTCCTGAGGACTCAGGTGTTATTCCTCTTTACCCTGTAAATTCACTGCCATATCCCACCCATCAAACCGAAACACAGCCATGCAAAAACGACTGCTTCACAGTAGAAACACGAATGTGACAGAGGTGCCTAAGCAAACGACTTTTACACAAAGTCTCCCTCTGGTGTATTCTCTGCACTAAGCATCTAATTTGGGCCATTGTGCGTATGAGATATGGCTAACTCTGTCCAAAAACACAGAATCTTTGTGCAAACAACTTTTGCACAAAGTCTCCCTCTGGTATTTATTGTTCAAATGCAATCACAAGAATTGTTTAGACAATACATATACGTAGTTTTCTTTCTTTCTCTAAAGTCTGTTGTAAATCGATATTATGAATACTTTATGAAAAGATTACAAAGTAAACTGTACAACTTTAGTCACGTACAAATATACAACGTCAATCCAACAACAAATTATTGTCATTACTAGGCATAGATTTAGGACAGCACCTATAGTCCTGATAGATGTGACACGCAATAGCGAGAACTTATTACGAGGGTCATTTGAAAAGTTCTTAGCCTAACATGGTTAAAGTCATTGGTTTCTTTTTTTATAACTACCCTCATTTTATAGTTACATTATTTAGCAACAAGTATGCACAGTTTAGTTTATTCACAGTAACTCATTGTTCGTTTACACGTGATACCGTAAGTCAAGTCAGAGTTATTTTTGAAAATGGATAAAATTTAACATCGTGCAGTGATAAAATACCTGAATTTGAAAGGTTTAACTCCAAAAGCTATACATGAAGACATGTTTGCTACTTTGGGTGAGTCCGCTCCTTCGTATGTGACTGTTATTACTGACTGAAGGATGGGATATGGCGTGAACTTACAGGGTACAGAGGAATAACACCTGAGTCCTCAGGAATGGCAACGCATGGGGGTATCATGGGCGAAACAGTATTCTCTGTTAAGTCCATGGTACTGCTCATATCTATAGGCGACGGTTACCACTTTCCATCAGGTGGGCCGTCAGCTTGTTTGCCATTCTAACTTGTATAAAAAAAAAGTCCTTACTAAAAGCACCCGTTCACGACGTATGACAGATGAATCTTAGATGAATTTATTTATTTGTATTGAGGGAAGCTTACAGCTTTGATAACTTAATAATGAAATAGTTAACGATTTTATAACATTGTGTATTATGTATTTATGTAAAAACTAAGATGTTTTTACTTAATATTCAATTTAGTTCACTTAAATTTCAATTTAGTCATTAAAATCTCATTTTGTAATAGAAAACAGTGTTTTATGTGTGTCGACCATTACAGTTGAATCGATTGCTATAAAATTGACCTACATAACCTAACCGCTTCAAGGGCAAACATACATACGTGTAAATTGTCGCGTTTTTCGATCACATTCTAACAGCCTGTATTAAATTTCCACGACAAAAACACAGAAAAATTACGCAATTGCGTATGTTTTAGTTGTGCGTAACTCATAAATATTCAGTAGCGATGTAATTAGGAATGTTTTGCATAATTTCCCTATTCGGCCATTCATTTACGCATTAAAATCTATTGCTCTACATACTGTGTGTGATAATGGAATGGTAACCTCGCCTGCGCTATCGGTATACACCGGCGGGGTACCAGTGAGGGATGATAGGTGAAGATGAAGTAGGTCAGTTAGCTCATCGTGACGAATTCAACAAGAATTGTTCACGATGGTTTCCAGGGGGAATCACGTGGAGGTCAACCTAATAGGGCATATTGGTAGCAATGGGGCTGTCAAACTCCATTACTAACAATCCCTTTCCCCTCTCTACATACTGTGTTACGTGCTATGTAATTTTTTTTGTTAGTTTTTTAACCTAACTCTGTCTCCGTGAGGGAGAGGGAGACTTTGTACAAAAGTCGATTGCTTGGGTACCTCTGTCCCATTCGTGTTTCTACCGTGAAGCAGTTGTGTTTGCAGGGTTGTGTTTCGGTTTGAAGGGTGAGATATGGCCTGAATTTACTGGGTACAGAGGAATAACACCTGTGGCCTCAGCAATGGCAACGCATGGGGGGTATCATGAGCGAAACAGTATACTCTGTCATGTCCATGATACTGCTTATGTCTATAGGCGACGGTTACCACTTTCCATCAGGTGGGCTGTCAGCTTGTTTGCCATTCTAAGTTGTATAAAAAAAAAGTGACTAGGACATGGTTAAACTCTGACCGGGATAAAAAATAGTTTACTCTTATTATCTTTTTCATTCCTTATATATAAATAAAACTTAATGGTAATAAAAAATAATAGCATAGTTCTGGCATAGAATAGGCCTCCCCTTTCTTTCCTGTGGGTGTGGTTAAGAGGTGACTAATGAGGGGAAATGGATTGTTAGCAATGGAGTTTGACAGCCCCATTGCTAGCAATATATCAGGTCGACCTCCACGTGTTCCCCCTGGAAACCACCGTGAAAAATTCTTGTTGAATTCATCGCGATGGGCTAACTGACCTACTTCATCCTCACCTATCATCCTTCACTGGTGCCTCGCCAACGTATACCGACACCGCAGGGGTTACCATTACATTTTCACCCCATTAAAAAAATGGTTATTATGAAAGGTAGTAGAACAGTTCTAGGAACTTCACAGATGGTGGCAAGCATGCGTGAGGACTAGATACTAGGGCATCATAACTCACTTGTCGGCTGGTAGTAGGCTTGGCAGCGAGTATGTAATAGGTTAATAACATATACGAATAATAATAATTAGATGGAGTAACGACTTCAAATGCATTGCAGGGAATCAGTGAATACAGGTGGCTCAGGACCGTTCCTTATGACAGTCTATGGGAGAAGCCTATGTCCAGCAGTGGACTGGTGATAGCTGAAATGATAATGACGATGTTAGTAAATAATGACAACATATTTTCTTCAATCTTATTATTTCTTTCCAGGTTCCATCTTTTAATCGCCAGCGATGTCCCCACACACGAGGTTCAGTAGACTCGAGGGCGACTATATTGTGGTAATGTGGAGGAGGGGACAGAGCCGGTCGCCGTAGTACTGTTAGTTTCGTTCTCCACATTTGTAGGGGAAGATTTTAAGTAAGTGTTTTTTATCATCTCTTATATGGTTCTGCTCTCCTAGTACTTCATTGTAAATATATTAGAAGATACATATTCGTCATGCCTGTCTTTTTTCTTATACAACTTAGAATGGCAAACAAGCTGACGGCCCACCTGATGGAAAGTGGTAACCGTCGCCTATAGACATGAGCAGTACCATGGACATAACAGAGTATACTGTTTCGCCCATGATACCCCCCATGCGTTGTCATTCCTAAGGACTCAGATGTTATTCCTCTGTACCCAGTAAATTGACACTATATCCTACCCTTCAAACCGAAACACAGCCATACAAACACAACTGCTTCACGGTTGAAACACGAATGGGACAGAGGTACCCAAGCAATCGACTTTTGTACAAAGTCTCCCTCTGGTGCTTCAGATACTTAGAATAGCAAATTAACTGACTTCACCTATTGAAAACTGGTAACCGTGCCTATAAACTTGAACAATACCAATATTACAGAATGAACATGCCTATGGTAGAACTCATGCGTTGTTATTTGTAAAGGTTATGGTGTTATGCCATATCCTACCTTCAAAACTGAAATACAGCCATTCACACAGTTTTACGACAGAAACATGCTTGGGACAGAGCTATCCATGCAAGCAAATTTTGTATAAGGACCCATCTTAGAACTCCTCTTGTATTCGCTAACATTATATATTACAATAACCATCATAGAATAAAAAAATCACTCCTGAATAATCTCGAGGACTTTTATGTTAAGTCAGTAAGTTCACTGCAATATCTAATCTTTTAAACATCTATACAAGTACTGCAGCTTAGTGGTATAATGCAGGAAAAATCCATTCGCTCCTTAAATTTGCTATAATAATGGATTCATAATATTTTTTTAAGTTACTTATCGAATCACAATTGGCTAGTTATTGCTGTGAGCTACTTAATTATTCATATCACATTATTCTGTTTCCTGACTTAGCTATACTGTAATGTAAAATTACCATTTCTTCTCTTATTGATTTGCAATATCAAAATTTTCAAGCCAAACCTTTTGGCTTTTTAAGAAGTTTTTGCTCTTTAGTGATTCTTGTTTTTTTTTTTTTTAATTAAAAGCTATTCTAGAATATTCTTAAGAATTCTAATAAACCTACCCTGACTTGGACATTGTAGTATAATTATGTGGGTAGGAAAGATGAGGTTTTTATATTAGTACCTTCGATATACAATAAACAATTGAGCTAGCAAGTTGTGTTTCACCACATGGTGGCAGCGGTCCGATCAAATAAATGCGTTTACAATATTATAATTAAAAACCGGTGTGAAGAAAGTCAAGTTCAGTGTCCGTAGACATATTGTTATATCTGGAAAATGGAACACGCGCGTCCTCCTTCAGAATTACGTGTGGATGGTAATCCTGCCGTCCGAGCAGAAACGTGGCGGAAATGGTGGCAACAGTTTGCCATGTTTTTAAAAGCGTCAGGCGTCAATAAAGAATCTAAAGAGGTACAGGCGAGCTTGCTAGTGAATCTCATTGGAGCAGAGGGCTATGAAGTCTATTCTACGTTTTCGTATTCAAAAGAGGAAAATCCCGATGACATTGAGTGTTTGAAAAAAAAATTTGATACCCACTTCGGAACGAAAGTGAATGTTACATCTCTAAGGTTTAAATTTTTTACAAGAAATCAAGTCGCTGGGGAAACAATTAATCAGTATGTGACGGCATTAAAATTACTGAGTCAAGGGTGTGAATTCGAACACCTAGTGGACGGTTTACTGAGAGATAGAATAGTTTGTGGAATATTGGATAACGTCGTGCGTGATAGATTACTACGGGCGGAGGACTTGACCCTCGCGAAAGCGGTGCAAATTTGTGAAGCGGCCGAGATGTCTAGAGAGGAGCGTAGACAGATAGAGGAGGCGACGTCGTCGGGTACTCATGTGGATGCAGTGTACGGTGACGGCGCGCCCCGAGGCGGCGGCGCGGGCCCGAGCGGTGGCCGGCGACGCCAGCGCGGCCGCCGCGGCGGGCGCAGCGAGCAGCGCCTACCGCGTGAGCAACGCGACACTCCTTGTAGGCGTTGTGGAAATACCTACTGTGAGGGGGCGCAACGGTGCTCAGCGTTTAGGTCTACGTGTTTCGTGTGCAACGGTCAAGGTCATTTTGCTCGAGTGTGTTCAAATAGAGTGCTTGGCAAAAGAGTGCATACCGTGAGTACGTTGTCGGATTCTAGTGAGGATGTGTTATACATAAATATGGTAAATATGGGTAAAAGTAAAAAATAATTACCCAAGGAATGGATAGAAATAATAGACTTTAGTGGTAAACGTATCAATTTTAAATTAGACACAGGGGCAATGTTAAATGTGTTAACAAAGATAGATTTTGACCGATTAGGAATAAATCCGAATAGTCTTATGCCATACAATAAAAAAGTGTTGTCCTACACGGGAAACTCGGTTCCTGTCATTGGAAGTTGCAATTTAAAAATTAGTTTTAGAAATAAAGTACATAATTTAAAATTTGTTATAGCAGATATGAAGTGTCAAAACATTATTGGATTGAATGCATGTTTACAAATAGGAGCGATCCAAAGAGTAAATACCTTAAATATTGACAACTACTCGGATTTATTTCACGGTCTCGGCAAACTACCGGGCAAACACAAAATTGTTGTGAATAAAAGTGTTGCCCCCGTTATCTGTCCAACACGTAGGATCCCTCTAGGTATGAGAGATAAATTGTACACAGAATTAAAAAGAATGGAAAAGTTAGGAGTTGTCAGGAAGGTGAGTTACCCTACTGAATGGGTGAATGCCATCGTTATAGCTGCTAAAAAAAATGGTGATATCCGTATATGCTTAGATCCGCGTGACCTGAACAGGGCGGTGCAGCGCGCACACTACTCGCTACCGACAGTGACGGAGGTGGCCGCGCGCCTGCGCGGCGCCACGCACTTCAGCGTGTTGGACGCACGCTGTGGTTTTTGGATGCTGGAACTGGACGAGGCTAGTGCTGATCTCTGTACCTTCAGCACCCCTTATGGTAGGTATCAATTTTTAAGACTTCCCTATGGAATTAATTGTGCGCCGGAAATGTTTCATGGTTTAATGAGACAGTACCTTGAGGATATAGAAGGTACTGAATCATTTATCGATGACATTGTAGTTTGGGGATCAAGTAAACAGGAACATGATGCTAGATTAGAAAAGCTACTCCAGAGAGCCAAAGAGATAGGCATTCGTTTTAATAAAGAAAAATGTAAATTTAATGTAAAAGAGGTTACATATTTGGGACATGTTTTTGATGAGCGAGGCATGCGGCCCGACAGTGCTAAGGTCAAAGCCGTAGTCGATATGCCAATACCTAAAGACAGAAAGGGCCTAGAAAGGTTTCTAGGTATGGTAAACTATCTTTCTAAATTTATTCCAAACTATTCCGAAAATGTAGTAGTGTTACGAGCGCTTCTAAAAAAAGATGTGGAATGGGTATGGGGACCCGAGCATACTAATGCTGTAAATAAATTAAAATGTCTTATTACATCAGCTCCCGTCCTCGCACTGTATTCGTACCGACTACCTATAGTGGTATCAGTGGACGCGAGCGCGGAGGCACTAGGCGGCGTGGTGTTACAGGCAGGGCGGCCGGTCGAGTTCGCTTCCCTTACACTTTCCGATACACAACGTCGTTATGCGCAAATAGAAAAAGAAATGCTGGCGATTGTCTTTGCTTGCGAACGTTTTCATCAGTACATATTCGGTAGAAACGATGTAACAATACAGACGGATCATAAACCACTAGAATCTATATTTAAAAAATCGCTCTCAGCTGTGCCGGCGCGACTGCAACGTATGATGCTACGCATCCAAAGTTATGACTTCAAAGTGGTTTATACGCCCGGCAAATTCATGTACATAGCGGACACTTTGTCGCGCGCCCCATTACCTATACTGATGCATGAACGGATCAATGAAGAATAAGAAGCACAAACCTGTTTTATGTTAGAGCATTTACAATACAGTGATAAAAAACTGGATTTAATAAAAGAGCAATTAAAAAATGAGAGTAGCGCAAATATTAATAAATTATATTAGTAATGGATGGCCTCGAAGTAGACACAACGTGAATCCAGAAGTACGTCTATTGTGGTCTTATAGGGATACTTTACAATATGTAGAAAACCTGATCCTTAAAGATAATCGGTTATACATTCCGAGTACTTTGCGGGAGGATATGTTGCGTCGTGTCCATGAAGGACATTTAGGCATAGACCGGTGCAAACGGCGCGCACGGGAGGTGATGTTTTGGCCGGGCATGTCGCGTGACGTAGAGAGTGTCGTACGCAGTTGTGCCGCGTGTGCGCTGCATGCACCGCGGCCGATCCGAGAACCGATGATACCGCATTCAATTCCAAATTTACTGTGGAATAAGTTAGGGTCGGATATCTTTGAATATAAAAAAAAATATTACCTTATATTAGTGGATTATTTTTCAAATTATGTAGAAGTTAATAGAATAAATTCAATTGGAAGCTCATGTGTTATTGGAGCAATGAAAGAGCAATTTTGTAGATATGGTATACCAAAAATGTTAATAACAGACAACGGACCGGCGTACACTTCAAAACAATTTAAACAATTTCTTTTCAATTGGGAAATTGAGCATGTTACTTCATCTCCGTTATATGCACAATCTAACGGGAAAAGCGAGCGCACGATACGTACCGTAAAAAATATGCTAAAAAAATGTGAAGATTCGGAACATGATTTCCATTTAAGTTTATTAAATTTAAGATCTACACCTAGGGATGGTGTGGATTCGCCTGCACAAATTTTGATGGGAAGACGTTTAAATACCCGTCTACCGATTTACGAGCCGTTATTAGCTGACACAGTGGACAACAAGCTTAATTATGATAAGTTATTAAACAAACAGACAAGACAAAAATCCATCTATGATAGACATGCAAAACACAAAGTCTACCCCAGCTTGGATCAAAATGATAAGGTGGTCATTAATGATGGCGGTCAACGTCGTTTAATGAAGGTGGTGCAACAAGCAAAGGAGCCAAGGTCGTACATTTTAGAAGACGAGACTGGACGTATATTTAGACGTAATCGTCGTCATATAGTTTGCAGGCGGCGCAAAGGTAATGAGGGAGCACAAGCTACAGTCACAGGTACAAATAAAACAGTAGAAAGGCCATGGACTCCTGCATCCAGCACCACAGGCTGTGACGCAGAGGCGAGTACTTGTGCAAAAGAAAACGCCATACAGACAGGCATATCTAATCATATACGTACATACGAATTACCCAGCACTAACGATGCGCAATTTGTAACTATTAGGAAAAAAAAAAACAGGTTTTAATGCAAATAAAATGTAATCACAAATTATGTATTCCAATATGGTAGCTATGTTCTCCATATAGTAAATAAATTGTTAAAGTAAATATACATAATATTATGTATATTTATTATTAAACCGACTAAAAACTATCAAATTAAACAAGCAGTGTTTTAAATTAATTTTGTGTTGATACTGTTATTCTTTTAATTTGTAATTAGTTTCATGATGAGTAGGTAGATAAATAGTATTATTGTATTAACATTAATGTAGTGAGTACATATATATATATAGGTTTTTGTTAATGTTGTAAATTATACTTATTATATTAGTTTACACTTATATACTGAATTCGAACAGATATTTGTTATATTTTTACCTTTATACTTACTTACTATTTATAAATACATATATATAATGTTATATGTCATAAGGGGAAAGATGTAGTATAATTATGTGGGTAGGAAAGATGAGGTTTTTATATTAGTACCTTCGATATACAATAAACAATTGAGCTAGCAAGTTGTGTTTCACCACAGACATGTTGATTTTCAAGTATATTTGACGATCTTGATAGTAACAATCACTGCCATACTATCGAGTATTCGTGTCCTCATATAATGCAATTAATTCTATTCACATAAATATAATCTATTTGTATTAGTCAAGGTATTTTCTGTATATTTTATAAACGTATTTATAATAACTATTTAATACTCTGCAATTCACCAACTGTGTGACGTGACCAAAGCTGTTTATTTATTTAAATCTTATTGGTAAGATCTATATGAAGAAAGTAGTCAAGAAATTTCACAATTAGTAGTGAGTGGTAGGTACTCAGTTGGGCAACGCTTGATTGTGGTTTGAAAATCCCAAAATTAAATCTCTGAATTTATAAATCATGTTTAAATCACTTAGAAAATATTGCTATGTGCTTCAGAAGACATGCAAAATTATCATTCAGTAAGCCGCATCAAGGGCTCCTGATGACTGTAGTCCGAAAACCCCAAGATCGAATCCCAGCTTCGAGAATTTCCAGAGGTCTGAATGAAAACTCTCGACATTAAAGAGCGATGGCTTCAAACAAGTAATAGTACCGGTAGTAAGATTATTTCAAGGACTCCAGTTACTCCCAGTGTTTTTGCTTACTTAGTCGACAAATCAACTTAAATTGAAGGAATGGATGAAAACACTTTATTGTTCCCTCCAAAAAATGATACAGATTATAAATACATTATGTACACAAACAAAATAATAAATTTCATTACATAAAAGCAAGACAAAGAGGCAACAATGTGTGGCCTTATCGCTAAATATCTGCATTACCATCTGCATTACCATCAGTCCCCAAACTAGGCCAGACCTGTATCTTGGGGACTAATAGCAATCTCTTAGACAATCTGAGGATCAATCGATACATTTTGTTGATGTAATTAAACTTCCGTTATATGTATACATTTTATGATCTTTTTTTTGTTTTAATGGGTGATAATGGAATGGTAACCCCACCCGCGCTATCGGTATACACCAGCGGGGCACCAGTGAAGGATGATAGATGAGGATGAAGCAGGTCAGTTAGCCCGTCGTGAAGAATTCACCAGGAATTGTTTACGATGGTTTCCAGGGGAACCACGTGGAGGTCGACCTAATAGGGCATATTGCTAGCAATGGGGCTGTCAAACTTTATTGCTAACAATCCCTTTCCCCCACATTTTATGATGTATAACATACTATATTATACAAAGGCACTATCATTAATAGTTGTTGTCAAGTTATTACGCTTAATAATTTGATAAGCCCGTCTAAAGTGATTATAACACCAATCACAAAGGCATCAGTTGATATTAAGTTACAAAACAAGTTAAGGTCGTTGCCAATTTATTACTTAGTGCTAGTTTGATGGAAACATTTGGATATGACAGTGATGGAACCTATATATTTGTTTACAAATGAACAACCGATATAGTCCAAGTATACGATTCAGCTGATAGTGAGGCTTTATTAAATCCTATACTCTTTTAATAAAGCCAGTGTAGTGAGTATTTGGTAATCTACTTTCGTCATTAAACATTGTGTAGTCTTTTTATTAAAAATAATGAAAAAGGAAGAATCTAGGGTTATTATCTAGGGTCTATTAGGAATGTTATATAAAAATATAATGAAACATATACAAAAACGGAATGTCCGGGAATCTGATTTCTGTATTTTTTTGTTTTTTGTTGCTTTACATACATCTCTAACTTTATCCATGTTTACAATTAATTTCATTCATAACAACTAGTTTCTGAAACTGTTTTCCTTAAATAATATATACTGGAAATATCCACATATCAAAAAGACCTTGAATGATATAGATCAGTCTAGATTAATCATTAGATAGCTCCTCTACTATTTAAAAAAGTAATGAAGAATTTCTGAAACTATGTAAATAAACGAGACATATTGTAAAAATGGATGAAGGTAAACGTGTATGTAAGAAAGAAAATATCTAACGCCACCACTAAGCAGCTATGCTTACATGACTGCTTTTTAAAAAGATGGAATATGGTAATTGAATTACTGGATATAGAGGATACAATATCATGGTCGTCACAGCGTAAAAACCAAAACCGATGCTTACCACTTTCCATCAGGTGGACTGTTAACTTGTTTACCATTCACAATTGCATTAAAAAAATAATCTTTATCAATTCCAACAGAAATGAATCTCCTTAATATGGACGCGGAGAACCGCGTCGTTCTCAATGTGGGAGGCATTCGCCACGAGACGTACAAGGCAACGCTGAAGAAGATCCCCGCGACGCGCCTGTCCAGGCTGACGGAGGCGCTCGCCAACTACGACCCGGTGCTCAACGAGTACTTCTTCGACCGGCACCCTGGCGTGTTCGCGCAGGTCCTCAACTACTACAGGTAACATCAGATGCTATACATTTATATTATGGAAGATACCAGAAGTCCTATTTCAGATGCGCTAAAATTACAACGTCTATAGGCTATATAGTCCCGTTTACCATCAGACGCGCCATATGCCTATTTGCCACCATAATAGTATCTATCTCTATCCATTTAAGAGCTGCGCTCTTGTCGGTGGAGCTCTTGCCACTCACTACGATTTTCAGCGAGTTCACCACCTCTTGATACGACACGACACCAACTCCTTCCTTGATCTGCCTGATGTAACTATGTCTCGGTCTCCCTCTCTCCCTTCTTCCTTCTATCTTACCTTCTATTATAATGTTCATAAGTTCGTCGTGTCGTATCAAGTGTCCTAACATTTTTCCCCTTCTGTCCTCAATAGTTCTAATCATAGTAGTATAAAAAAAAAAACAAAATATAGCCACATCCTCCTATCTTTTTAAATATGAAAACTTACTAAAATCGATTCCCAAATAGTAATTAGTAGAGATTGCATATAATAGAAATATATAAACCTTCTTTACGGCAGTCAATTGAAAATATGGATTATGCCGCCGACAAATTCGTGAGAGTAATTGACAAATTCCTTGATGAACCAAGAATCCACGGATCCCGTTCTGAATACTAATGAATGTAGGCATTGATCTGTTAACATCCCCATGATTAATTTCAATCCAGCCCTCTGTAAGGTATAGGTCATTATTAGAATTCCAATTTGCAGTACTCCAATGATCAAGTGAGGTTATAATCAAGAATTTGGGCAATCTGGTTTGTTCCATTAATAACAGTTAATGAGAAAAGTTTTATATCATTAATCGTACACATTTTAACTGTATTTATTCTACTATATATTAATCCAGAGGGTGTTTAGGTTTGACCCTTTCACGGTGACCAGCCGGCTTGTTAGAGGTTAGATTATTTTTTTCACGTAGTTATTTTTAACGTGTTTTTTTTAATGGATGATAATGGAATGGTAACTCCGCCTACGTTAACGGTATACACTGGCGAGGCACCAGTGAAAGATGACGGGTGAGGATGAAAAGACAGATCACCAGTTTACCAGAGGGAGACTTTGTACAAAAGTCGTTTGCTTGGGCACCTCTGTCCCATTCGTGTTTCAACCGTAAAACAATTATGTTTGCATGGCAGTGTTTCGGTTTGAAGGGTGCGATATGGTGTGAATTTACAGGGTAAAGAGCAATAACATCTAAGTCCTCAGGAATGGCAACGCATGGGGGGGTATCATGGTCGAAACAGTATACTCTGTTATGTCCATGGTACTGCTTATATCTATAGGCGACGGTTACCACTTTTCATCAGGTGGGCCGTCAGCTTGTTTGCCATACTAAGTTGTATAAAAAAAAAGGTCAGTTAACCCATCATGATGATGATCCAATACACCTAGAATCACGATGAAACCATCGTGATTCCAGGCCGACCTGATAGGGTATATTATTAGCAATAAAACTGGTAGTACGCATTAATAACAATTCCCCCCCCCCTCTCCCCCCCATAACGTATCCATACCAATCGTTAATTGTCTGCTGCTGAACATAGGCCTCTCTCTATTGGGAAGGTTTTACCAGTATATTTAATGACAAAATAGATATATTTTTTAAATGTTGTTCAAAATTTTTTAGTTTGTAAAATAAACCTATGGCTCACTACACGTTTCGGGAGACTGTAAGTATGGTGAGTAATTTATAAATAAATAAATATTTATAGTAATATTTATGTATTTATTTATGAATGATAATATATTTGTTTTTTTTTTACATGTTTATTTATATTAATCTAATTACAAGTTTATAATATATAAATATATTAAAGATAAATTTTTATATTTCTTCCATTCAATAATGCACCGCCTTTTTCTTTCTTTGTTTGCCCAATAGTTGACTGGTAAACAACACTGTTCAGTGTTCAGTCCACCATATTTTTACAATGCATTAAAATTTGAATAAATAAATAAATATATTTTACGCATCACAAACAAACATATGAGAATAAACATGTATATTATTACGTTATTTGAATAAAATTAAACATACACAGGCCGAGATACGAACTCGCGACACGAACAGCGTTTATTATAAATAATGATCAAATTTCTTCGATATTACAAGCGTGGATACTCGAAAAAGGAGTACAATAAAAAAAAAAGAGTTTGCATTATATAATTTTCCACCGTCTAACAAAGTATTTACTGGTAACGCCTTAAAAATATCAGATAAAAAATTCACGAACACAAGAGGCCTCCTGAACCTGAGGGAGGTAATGAGAAAATACGAGGGTAGATTTTTTCAATTCTCCGTGGATTTCTTTGTGACGTTGGAAGAAAAAAACGCTATTTCAGTTTGATCGGTAAAATGGAAATGCTTAATCTCGTAAGCTATGATTATAATTTAACATGTTACGACATGTTTTTTTTTCTAATATTTTGTGGAACACATTCTTGAATTAATTACAAGTCGTTAAAAATGTTGTAAAGTATAAATAATTCATAATTAAATTGAATTCTACCAAAACACTGACTTCTTTTATTTTATTTGACTTTATTTAGATTTAAAAACTAAATTACTGAAGCGATTTTGAAAAAAAATCCATGGAAATAATCTATAAACATATCCTCTTTAGATAAAATAAAATTACAAATTGATTTACAACTGACGGAGTTGAGGTAAAAATTATAAAAAGCTATAACCGAATTGAGAACCTGCTTCTTTTTGACATAGATTGAAAATCATAAGAAAAAATTAAATCACAATACCACTGTGATGATAATAAAAGAAAAATAATTGCCTTTGTAATTGTGTTCTATAAAAAAAGTTGTTTTTTTTGTTATTAACTATTAACAAATAACTAATGTAATTTAAAAACGTGCTATAAATATTAAGAACAAGTAAATAAAAAAATATTTCAAAAATTAAATTATTTACCAGAGAGAAAGAGTTTTTGAAAAGATGCCTCTACTCCGCTCGTGTTTCTGCCATAAAACAACTGTGCTCACATGGCTGTGTTTCAATTTGAAGTATTGTACATGGTAGATAGATAGATAGATACTAATTATTGTTTCCCCTATAAGATTACAATAGTAAACTTATTATAAATACAAACAATTACAAGAAAATATAACACTAAGAAAATAATGGACGGCCTTATAGCTAGAAGTGATCTCTTCCAGGCAACCTTTCGATGGAGAAGAGTAATTAAAAACAGTTTGACTGGAGGCACGGAACTCTGTTCGTTTTTTAAATACATATAGAGATAAACAGACGTACAATAATGTGAATATATAAATCTACATTTTAAGATGTACCTGCTTAAATAATTTATATATATAAAATGTATACACATATGTATGTGTATACATATGTATGTAGTTACAAAAATAAAAATAATTTGATTATGCTAATCAGATAGGAGCCCCTAATTTATGTTTTAAAACTTCGCACTGTATAATTTGTATGGTAGTAAAGTTACAGAGAATGGAAGCATAACATCATCAGGAATAGCAACTCGTGAGGATACCATGGGTTTTTTATGGGTGAAAATCGAATGGTAACCCCGCCTGCGCTATCGGTATACACTGGTATCCCACCAGTGAGAGGTGATAACTGAGGATGAAAACGCAGCTCAGCTAGCCCATTGTAACGAATTCAGTGATAAATTAATCACGATAGTTCCCAGGACGAATCGCGTGGAGGTCGACCTGATAGGGTATATTGATAGCAATTGGGACTAACCTCCCCATTACTAACAATCCCTTCCTACCAGATACCATGAGTAGGTATCATAGTCTATACTGTAATGTAAATCCATGGTGCCGTTGATGTCTATAGGCAACGGTTATCACTTTCCATCAGGTGGGCTGTCAGCTTGTTAGCAATTCTTCTAAGTATCATAAAAAATAATAATTTTACTATAAATATTTTAAAAGTACAAAAAAGTTACTAAATTAATCCTAATTTAAGGAGTAATAAAACTAATTGCTCAAAAAAAAAAGAGGTTCGCTTTGAATATTTTAATATTTAAGTCTTAAGTATTTTCAAGTGTCTCGTTTATAATTGTGAAAATTTTATGAACATTTTTATCAATATATTTTACAAAAGAAAAGATTAGAATAGATATTAAAATATTGTAATTATACACTCCGTTTAATATTAATTTATTCTCTTTCTTTTTTTTTCCAATTTAAAGCAATATCAAACTAGTACTTAGATTAATATAACTGACATATACGAGTGTAAAATAAAAATATTGTTTGCGAGCGCGTGCATGACTCGCTTCGGTCGCGCTAACGTCACGGCCACTCATAATTAAGGGTCACGAATTGATCCCGAAACTAGTCGATCTCTCTCGATATCATTACACGTAAGTTAAACCGTTAGTTATTACATCAAAATAGAAATAGTTATAAATATTTAAATACATAAAGACGTAACTAATATTATAAACATGTACCGGTTACGGACGAAGTCGCGGGAGGAAGCTAGTATTAATTAAATTAATAACGATGGTAAGTACAAACCGCTAACACGCGTAACTTTAAAAGTATACAAATTACTTTCTCTCGAGTTACAAAAATTTTTTCAAACGACCTTCGTAATAAGAAAGTTCTCGATTTGCCTACTGATTTTTCGACCGACATCAAAAAGAAGGAGGTTCGCTTGTTTTTTTTTTTTTATATTTGTCACCTCATAACTCCGTTTGTTCTAAATCTATACATTTTGAAACTAAAGTTTCATCCCAACCATCTGGACGAGTGGCGGTCTTCCACCGTGCGTTTTTCAAGGCACATTCTTCCACGCACAACCACGCTTTGGAATCAACTTCCAGCAGCAGTATTTCCGAATCGATACGACATCGTAACCTTCAAGAAAAGAGCATATTCCTTTTTAAAAGGCCGGCAGCACGCCTGCAATGCCGTTGGTGTTGTGGGTGATCGTGGGCGACGGTAGTCACTTACCATCAGGTGAGCCGCATGCTCGTTTGCCCCTTGTGTTGTAAAAAAAAAGAACATTTTTTTATCTGAAAGAATATACTTACAGATTGGTCCAAAAATCAAAACCTGCTCTTTTTTAACTCAATTGATGATCTCATTTTATTATATTTAGAACATAATGGCATAGAGTAATGGTAAAAACCATAATTTTTCCATAATACTTTTCGTTAAGCAGATCACTTAAAAAAGCGAAATTAATTTCATTGATAAGGAATACTTGAATAAAGTTTGCCCAAACTTAAATTTATTTAGGTCAAACCCTTTAGATAACGTTGCCAAGATTGATTAACATTCGGACGTAATCTGTATTAATATTGATTTATTGACAGTGTGGTTTTGGCGGTTTAAGTTGGGTTCATACACGTGACGACTTACGATTTGAAGGTCATTCTGAACGGTTTATGTTGGGTTCATACACGTGACGAATTACGATTTGAAGGTCATTTTGAATGGTTTATGTTGGGTTCATACACGCAACGACTTACGATTTGAAGGTCATTTTGAACGGTTTATGTTGGGTTCATACACGCGGCGACTTATAATTTAAAAATCATTTTGAACGGTTTATGTTGGGTTCATATACGTGATGACTTACGATTTGAAGGTCATTTTGAATGGTTTATGTTGGTTCATACACGCAACGACTTACGATTTGAAGGTCATTTTGAACGGTTTATGTTGGGTTCATACACGCGGCGACTTATAATTTGAAGGTCATTTTGAAGGGTTTATGTTGGGTTCATATACGAGATGACTTACGATTTGAAGGTCATTTTGAACGGTTTATGTTGGGTTCATACACGTAACGTCTTACGATTTGAAGGTCATTTTGAATGGTTTATTTTAGGTTTATACACGCAACGACTTACAATTTGAAGGTCATTTTGAATGGTTTATGTTGGGTTCATACACGCAACGACTTACGATTTGAAGGTAATTTTGAACGGTTTATGTTGGGTTCATACACGCAACGACATACGATTTGAAGGTCATTTTGAACGATTTATGTTGGGTTCATACACGTGACGACTTACGATTTAAAGGTCATTTTGAACGGTTTATGTTGGGTTTATATATGCGACGAGTTACGATTTGAAGGTCATTTTAAACGGTTTATGTTGGGTTCATACACGTGACGACTTACAATTTGAAGGCGATTTATACAAATTTTACTAATATTTATTTGTTTTATTCAACATTCATTGTCATTAAGACACAATGATGCAATCGTAACATCAATTCGTCTTAATTTGGAAGTAGTTGCTCCTTTTCAGTATCGCTATTTCTCAGCTTTGTTTCAGAAGTGTTTGTGTAAAGGATCCTTAGTTATTAGGATATATTATGATACTCAGTTATATGTCACAAGCCCTAAATACAATTTTAATAGACTAATAAAATTGAAACTAGACGACGTCTGTTCATGGAAGTCATTGAAGAAAGAATAATATGAAGTTCCTTACAATATTATAAATAATAAGAGAACAATAGAATAATTTTTAGGAAGTTTGTCTATTTATTTACTTGTACATAGGTTCCAGTATTACACAAAAAAAAAACTGAATAAAATTTAATACGGATTTCACCGTAGTATTCCTGAAAATCTAACTTAAAATCTAGTGTTTGCTTATCTTTCTATATACCATTCAAGAACCTTTCTTCCCCTTCGGTTGTAGAGTTATGTGACCAGCCCATTGCCACTTCAGCTTGCTTATCCTTCGGGCTATGTCGGTTACTTTGGCTAGTACTCTCCATAGCCCGCTGAGTTATTTCAAGCTTTTGAGTGCTGACAACCGTGTAGGACCATGTTTCGGTTCCATAAGTCATCATTAGCAGCAGGCACTGGTTAAAAACCTTCGTCTTAAGGTCGTATAACTAACAATTATTAATCCTAAATTAATAGCAGTTACTCGCATATTAATAGTAATGGAATTAAACAAAATAATCCTAATCAAATAACCAGTGATATGAATTTTCCCAAAACAATGCTTTATTCAGTAAAATATTTTCTTATTTATTAATATTCATTAAATCTTCTTGTTCACAGAACGGGGAAGCTCCATTACCCAACAGACGTCTGCGGACCTCTGTTCGAGGAGGAGCTTGAGTTCTGGGGTCTGGATGCCAACCAGGTGGAACCGTGCTGCTGGATGACCTACACGCAGGTACCAACTGCAAATATGTAATTTCTCATTATTTTCTAGGTACCTTTTTAAGTGAGGAACATTTTAATTTGTACAGGGTGAAATAAAAAGGAAAACTATTTAATAAAAAATTCATAAATGAAAAACAAAAATTTATAATAAATAATAATAGGTATGGTTGAACCTAGTATACTGTAAATATTTGAACGTCAAATAAACTAGCGGTTTACTTGATTAAAAGTGTTAATTTCATACTCCTCCGTCTGCGCAATTTTCTTAAAAAGGTGTACAGAGTTTTTGTTTCACCTATATATGTATATATATATATATATATATATATATATATATATATATATATATATATATATATATATATATATATATATATATATTAGTTTTGATAATGTTTTGTGTATTCTAAACTTATCATTCAGTTGAGGAAAGTCCTATTTCTTTGGTGACGCTTATAAAACAATAGCATCAAGGAATACAAAGGCTCTAAATAGGAAACTCATTGATTACTTTGTTTCACACAAATGAGATCTTGAAAACGATTGTTTCAGCTAATTTAAGTATCGAAAAGTGAATTAATGAGATGAATGGGAGAAACTTTAAACAATGGGCTCAATTTAGAAACAATTCAATTTAATTAACAAGTATAAGCACAATTCACGCGATTTATTAAAATTACATTTATATATTATAGTGTTTATGTTTAGGCATATCACCGGAATATGTTGACTGAATTAATCGCTAAGGCACAAAAGAGGCAACAAATAAATACTGGTTAATTGACCGCGACAAAAAGTAGCCTATATCCTTCTCTATCTCATTTAGTACGTGTATACCAAATTTCATAATAATTAGTCGTTAAGCTACAGAGAGGCAATAAATAAATACTAGTTAATTGACCGCGACAAAAAGTAGCCTATGCCCTCCTCTATCTCATGTAGTACGTGTAAACCAAATTGCATAATAATTAGTCGTTAAGCTACAGGATTTAATTACAGTATGGGGTTCTTTAAAAGAGGGGTAAAGAGGTTTCTTCAGGGTTGGCAACGCGTGTAATGCCCTTAGTATTACAGATGTTCATAAGCTACGGTAACTGCTTACCATCAGGTAGACCGTATGTTTATTTGCCATCTCAGTGGTATAAAAAACACGAATTTGAAACTTATAATTTTGTATATCTAAGTAATATAATATCATTAGTAACTTACTAAATTTTAACTCATTATTTATGTTAGGGTAAGCATAAATAAGCAGCTAAACTTTAATTTAAATAAGCCAAGAAAGATGAGAAACGATTCTTATGAATTTTACCAGATTTCGCAGGGACTTGAAGCGTACAATGATACAGATTTAGTAACGGATGAAAGGACTTAGTAAAATTATGTTTATATTATACTAGTGTTTACCTGCAACTTCGTCTACGTGACAGAGATACGAGGGAATTAAAAAAAGGCTGTTCCATGCCTAAATATTTGTGTATTATTAAATTTAACAACGATCGATTAAGCGAACAAAGTGCTAAGAAGTAACAAACTTAATTTCGCGTTTATTATTTCAGTAAATACGAGTAAATAATAAAATATTATTAGATATGATTTTTTTTAAACAGAATGACAAATAAACAAACATACCATTTCAGTAGAAAATAATTATATAATACTAACGGTTCAGTCATTACGAGAACTTTTTCTTTTTATGCAACTTAGAATGGCAAACAACAATTGACGGCACACTTGATGGAAAGTGGTAACCGACGCCTATAGACATGAGTACGCTGTTTCACCCAATGCGTTGGCATTCCTGAGGACTAAGGTGTTATTCCTCTGTACCCTGTAAATTCACTGCCATATCCCACCCTTCAAACCGAAACAGCCATGCAAACACAACTGCTTCACGGTAGAAACACGAATGGGATAGAAGTATCTAAGCAAACGACTTTTATACAAAATTTCCTTATGGTAAAATGATGAAACCATATTGATTTTTAGGCAAATTGTTGATACTGGTCGTCTTAACTCGGTTCAAAGACGGGCTATGAGAACTGTTGACAATCACAAGCTCATAGGCGGTATCGAGCCTTTAAGTCTAAGGCGAGGCTTTGTCTCCCTTTGTGTGTTCTGTCGCTTGTATAACGGATTGTGTTCTGAGGAATTGTTTGAAACGATGCCCACAGCCATCTTTTATCGTCGCACCGCTCGCCATCGACAGGGAATTCATTCTCACACGCTTGAACCTAAATTGTCACGTACAGTGCGGTGTCAGAGAAATTTTCACCCACGAACGCTCAGGCTATAGAATGAGCTCCCAATGGCTTTTCTAGAGACTTCAGTATGGAGTTCTTCAAAAGGAATACATTAAGATTTCTTTAGGGTCGGCAACGCGTACGTGCGTCGCCAACGTATACGTAACGCAGGCGGGGTTACCATTCCATTATCGTCCATTAAAAAAAATTTTGCAATTTTATCAACATTACATAGTCTACGTTGTAATAACAAAAAACTATACTCAATTCGACATCCACGCGTGTCCCTAATACAGACGCTATGTGCCACTGCAGCATACGGAGCGGGGACTTTTTACGCTTTCCCCCGGCAACTTTTCTCGTTTGTCCGGGATTTCGGAATATGTTCAGTTTTTATGAAAGCAAGTCTCACGTGTTGCCCGATATTAAATTTCGTGAGAGCATTTCGCTGCTCTTTCAAGATCTGTCTGAGTTTATGTTGTTCTTGTTGTTGTTTTAAATAATTAGTTTCTAGAACATTCTAGAACTTTTTACAAATAAACACGACGGTTATTATTGCACGTGCTTTTTTATGAATTATAATGGAATGGTAACCCCGCCTGCGCTAACGGTATCCGCTAACGGAGTATCAGTTAATGATGATAGGTGAGAATAAAAAGGTAGGTCAGTTAGCCCATCGGAATGGATACACCTGGAATTCAGCACGATGGTTTCCAGGGGAGACCACGTGGAGGTCAACCTGATAGAGTATATTGATAGCAATGGGACTGTTAGACCGTATTACTAACAATCCCCCCCCCCCTCTCTCACGAACCCAATCCTTAAGTAGTTACTGAAAATCAATAGTTTGTTCCTTGAGCCAACTTTTATACAAAGTTTTCCTGTTTTTTTTTTTCTATTCATTATTTTTTCCAAAAAAAAAGTTGGTAAATATCAAACCTGTTACCACAATATCAAGACCAATAACAGTCATAAGATTTTACGGTGGTCATAAGGAAGTCAGTTCCCATCACTACCCGATCAATTGACCTACTTTGTCCTATAGAGAAGTATAGATATTTGTAACAAGGAAGAGGTACACATGCAAACAACTTTAGGACAAATTATTTCTGTTTTTTTTTCAATACATTCTTGCTCCCAAATAGAGCTAAACACGTCATCAAACCTATTACCACAATATCCAATAATAGTCGTAAGATTTTATGGTTGTCATAAGGAAGTCAATCCCCTAATACTACCCGGTCAACTGACCTACTTAATACAATAGAAAATGGTGGTCTTTGTAAGACATAGTAAAGAAAAGACCCAAAAAGGAATTCCTCAAATTCGTCGTCGTATTTACTTAGCAGTCTATTCATGCATCGTTGCACCTTAATATTTGTAATTTTATTAAAATGACTAGCTGACCCCGTAAACGTTGTTTTACCACTTATTGCAAAATATAAAAATCGCAATTAAAATACAGGGGTTGATCGTAAAATGATAAAAATTTGATGTTGTATGTATTTTTTAATGCTAAATTAAATAATAAAATAAAAATAAAAAAAATTGTCAAAAAAATTTAAAAAAATATTTTGGGGTAGGTCATCCTTATCCTTGAGGGGTATCAAAAATAGATGTTAGCCGATTCTCAGCCCTACCCGATATGCACACAAAAATTCATAAAAATCAGTAAAGCCGTTTCGGAGGAGTTTGGTAACAAACACCGCGACACGAGAATTTTATATATTAGATGTTATTATTTAAACATGAAATATTACAAAAAAAAGATAAAAGAATAAAAAGAAATTTATTTATTTATTTTATTTATTTATACTATATTATTTATATATACTTATTACTTAAGACATCACCAAAGCTTACCTGCAGTCGCCAACACAGCCGCCAAGTGTTGGCAAAAACTTTCTAATATTTGTATAATAGAATTAACTTATGCCTTTTACTAAACGTTATGTAGTATGAAATAATTTGAATTTAACTACGACGTGGTTGGAGGCCTTGAGTAAGTCATGCTCATTAAAATGTCCAGACAGGTGGTGGCGTGGTGAGCCGGCTTATTGAGTTCCCTAAAAAACGATTGTGCGCAATGACAGCTGGCTCATCCGTCATACTCGTGAACGGATGCTGCCTATAGAGACAGATCGGTCACTCTGGTCACTGCCACTGTGTTATTTTATTTATTTGTTTAATTATGTATTAGATATTTTAAATTTTATGATCTGATACTGCTTAGAAGTTTGTATTTACACAAATTTATTATTTATACAATTTTGAACTTTTTGAAAAAAGTTATAGCTGAGTTTCTTGTCTGTTTTTCTTGGCTGAAATTGCGTACTCAATAAAAAAAAATACTATTCAAAAATGCTTACAAAATGCGTACAACGCGGTTTTTTTTTAATGGGTGATAATGGAATGGTGACCCCGCATACGCTATCGGTATACGATGGCGGGGCACCAGTGATAGATGGTCGGTAACGACGAAAACAAGTCAGTTAACCCATCGTAATGAATTCTACTAGAATTAACCAAGATGGTTTTCAGGGAGAACCGCGTGGAGGTCGACCTGATAGAGTGTATGGGTTATGGTAATGGGTTCATCAGACCTCATTACTAACAATCCCTTTCCCCCCATACAACGCGATTTCAGATATGGTTTCTCCCACAAACACTTGAGTTATGGAATAAGCTCCCTGCCGATGTTTTCCTAAGAGACTATGGTACAGCATGGGGTTAAATCTAAGTTTACTTGAATAAAAATATTTCTTTA